TGTGGAAAATAATGTGTTTTTTTAACCTTAAACCGCATAAACACATTTCATTACACCAAATACACAAAATAATGTTATTTTTAGCAATATCATATGACCCCTTTAAGGGTGAGCTGCGGATATGAATGAAGGCAAATACGGAGTTGGGTTTTTTCAACCGAAGAAGAAAAAAAAAAGCTCTCGTTTATTTGTGAGTTTAATTAACTCGGTCTCTCCATAAAACTCTTTAAGAAGCACCTCGCCACCCCAAACAACGAACCAACCCCCTCCTCGTCTTCACTCCCTAGTCCTACAAGCTTTGCGCGCTCCAACACCCCCCACATCACTATGGCAACCAGCGGGATAGTAACGCATACACAATACCCCTCCTCCCCTCAGCTACTTTTGAACCCAACGGATCTGGCAAGATGATAAAAGTGCTGACAAACTTCTGAACGCACATTTTTAATTCATTTGACATGTATATTCTCATTTTAATAATATTTTTTTAAAAACCAGTATGCTCTCTCTAAATAAACGCTACAATAATTTGTTATTTACACGCCGAATCTTACCTTTATCATACTTCTTAAGTGGAGTCTTGGCCCGGTGTCACAACACTTGTGCGGCTTCGATCGACTCCTCAGCCGCGACTAACTCCTCCGACAGTCCAATGTCCGACGAATTACGCATATTAATTTAGTGGAAATCGTTAAACAGCCTGATGGTGAATGCGAAAGTACATAGTGAACAAACAGCCAGCCGATCTTTTCGTCTGAAGCGTGTATTCACACGAACAAACAACCCGTAGTCACAGATCTGTCGAGACGGAAAACTTTCCATGAAATGTGTAGCTCAAGCACTCCCTCAGGCAATTTAACGGCGCATGAACGAAATTAACCGGGCACGAGACAGATTTGCGGCTCAGAACGGCTTCAGTTAAAAGTTAAAAGTTGGTTTGCTGCGGTGGAAATGCTCAGCCAGAGAACCATGACTCCAGGCAGCGTCGCGACGGTATTGGACAGCATCAGTGCACTTGTTGCGCGCTGATTGCTTCGGGGCGGAGAAACAAGTCGACTGTGATATGCGGTTGATGTCTGCCCGCGGGACGCGCCAGCATTATGACTGCTATATAAATATGGTGATATCACAGTATTTTTGCTTTAACATTTAGAAAACATTTTCCTCAAGATATGCCTTGAATCTTGACTATCACCAGCAGTTCAGCAGCACAGACGTGTTTCAGCCCTCAAAACGACTGTATTATGCGTTTCTGTTCTGCCCTGCCCAATAAATGTAAATAAATTCTAAAGAAAATGTTAGTGCTGCTACTTGTCTGCAAAACTCGCTAGGGTGGATGCCAGTGTGTTGCTGTGCAGTTGCTAAATTGAGTGTTTTTAGCTCAGTGTTTACTAGTTCTTGCTTCTTGGCCCCATTATGTCTTCCATTGTACATCCAAGATTATATTAGGCAAGCTTAATTTCTTTAACACAGTGTGGGATGAGCACAAATTTTAGCCAAAGGGTGTATTCAAATTTTCCAAGTATAAGCCTGTAAATTACATTTAAACATTTGGCAGATGCTTATCCAAATTTATCCCCTTGGAAATTGCTACCAGGTAAAATCTCCATGAATTGTAAATGGACAATTCTTATTTTTTTATGGAATATTGCAGTGTTTATTATAAATGGCTTATCTGTATCATTATAATTTTTTAATTCATGCCGTTTAATCCAAAAATTTTAATTTCAAAATATTAACTTCATCTCAACCTCGCAACCCCTCTCTCTCTCTTTTTTTTAGGGGTTCAAGCATGGTGAATCCCTGTTTTAATAGTTAGAATGACCAAGGATCAGCAATCTCCACCTAAAACTGATCGGGCAGTTGTAGAGACTTGAAACTTGGAGGGATGGTAGTAGTCCGTCTACAACAGGGGTCACCAAACTTGGTCCTGGAGAGCCGGTGTCCTGCAAAGTTTTGCTCCAACCCTGATCAACAACACCTCAACCAGCTAATCAAGGTCTTACTTGGTATATTTGAAACTTCCAGGCAGGTGTATTGAGGAAAGTTGTAGCTAAACTCTGCAGGACTTGCCCCTAGAACTACTGCTGTCAGTCAAATCATTTGTTAAATAATTGAGAATATGTAAAAAAAAACTACTTTTGCGAACTAGTCCTAGGTTTTTCGCTAAATCTCGCAAAAAAAAAAAAAAACACTATGGTACAATTCTCTGGACTCTCTAGGTCAATAATTATCAAAAAATGTTTAACTTTACCCTTTGGGTAGCTATAACAGGGTAGTTTAGAAAAGGGACGTGTCCAAATATACCCAAAAACATATAAATCCTAAACGAAAACTCAAAACGTCACAAAATTAGGTGAGCACATGCAACAGGTGATTCTAAACAAGCATGCAAAGTTTTACGGAGATTGGACCATTTTTAGCATAGCTTTAAGCTTCACATAGCTTTAAGTATTCTATGATCTTTGGCTAAAGTCAGACCACTCTGTTTGCTTGAAATTTTGTAATTGTACAAAAGTATCTAATCTAATTTAAATTAAAAAAATATCATGCTCATGCTATTTGTATGTAGCATCTTTGTTTGGACTGTGAATAAAATACAGTAGTAATAGAGCAAATAAACAGGGTCAATCAGACAATCAGAATCATCCATGAAAAATCATGATCGGTACATCTCTAGTTTTTGTAGATAGCCTACTGGTTAGTTTCCTCAAACAGTCATAAATCTGACTGACTATTAACAGCAAGTCAAGAGCAAGTGAGTACACTGGTCCACTTAAACTGGTATACACAGGTATACACACATAAACACACACAGTGTTAGTGTGTACCTGGTATTCCCTATGGGTCAAGTGTGTGTGTGTGTGAATTTTGAACGACAGTATATACGGGTGCTGTCCTACTGAACTGATTCTGATCGTAGTGATGGGCCGTTTGGACCAAAGAATGCCAGGGCTGATTTTTTTTGTCCCAGCCCAGCCCAGTTCCCTCAACAATAAACCCAACAGGATTTTTTTCCATTGGCTTTTGCATTATTGCTCTGTGACCAACAAATGTTTATGATTCTTGCATGTGTTGTTCATTATGATACTTTTCAGAAAAGAACACAAATTATGAAGTCGAAATACACCAGAAGTAAAAAGCTAAACATAGGCTATAAATGAACTACACCACAAATGACTTATATGTCACCATCATTAAGCTCCTGACAACTCTTTCAGTCTTTCGTTTTCCCTGAAAGTTTGAGCTAGAACAGTTTGCAAGAACATAGTTATTAACACAACAAAGCTGTGAAAGCAGAGTAGTAGTAAGTATGAGTTGACCTGTTGAAGACGTTTAATGTCCAAAACCTCTGTAGTTACCTTTAGCAACTTGATAGCAACCGCCTTTTTCAAGACAAGTAAACGCTTTATATAAAATCACAAAGGGGTATTACTGATGCATTTTATGTTGTAGAATAAAATATGAAAGTATCTTGAGCTTACGTTAACCAAGCACAGACCTTATTTCAGGCATTTAAACAAAAACCCATCGACAGGATAATGGAACCGGAAGTGCTCAAATGCTAACTAGTTTTTGGGTTTTGGCCTACAAAAAAATGCATTATCCCACTCTATATGAGAGGAAAGCAATCTCAGCTTCTGTTTCATTTAAGCTACAGGAATGTCAGCCTAGTTATAGTGATGTTTGCGTTAGCAAAAATACACACAGACACATAAGTTTTGTTCGCAAATGAAAATAAGAAACATAAACAATGATTTATATTTTACAGAACGTTCTGATGACACCATTTAGTGAAATTAAAATATTTTCTTACAAAGCATGGTTTTGCACCACTAAATTCCCATTCACAGCAGCATCTTTAGGTTGCAAAGAGGAGAAAGCTAGAAAAAACAGTGTCGTCATCTTCATCTGCGTATAACCCATTAAATAGCAGTTTATCAGCCACTTGCAACCACACTTTGTCTCCAGATTCCAGTTCTAGGACTGCTCCTCCTGCAGCCTGGTCCTCATCACCTTGGTAGCTGTCCATAGTGTAGATCACTTGCTGACCATTCTTCATCAGGGCCACTTTTACATTGCGAGAGTACACAGTGATATGGTAGTTGAAAAAATACACTCTGCTGATGGCACAAGTGAAGCGGCCGGTCTCAGGATCATAGTGTCCCTGGCGGTTATAGAGGACTTTATCAAAGCGAATTGGAGCGTTAGCGGCAGGTAATTTGGTGCTTTCGCTCAGTCTAGCTGAGAAGGCACTTGGGTATCTCAGGCATGTCCCCGTTTCGGGTCTTGCTCCCCGATGTCCCCTTTTGATCCTTTCTCATGCAAGGATGCCAGGAACACCTGAAAAAGCACCAACCTGATGATAGCCAAATGAAATTCAAATATTTACTGTATTCTTCTTAAGTGAATTGTATCCATTTAGAAACTACCAGACTGAATATATATAGGGCTAGGCAAAAAAATAAATAAATCGATTTACACTCTGCTGATGGCACAAGTGAAGCGGCCGGTCTCAGGATCATAGTGTCCCTGGCGGTTATAGAGGATTTTATCAAAGCGAATTGGAGCGTTAGCGGCAGGTAATTTGGTGCTTTCGCTCAGTCTAGCTGAGAAGGCACATGGGTATCAGGCATGTCCCCGTTTCGGGTCTTGCTCCCCGATGTCCCCTTTTGATCCTTTCTCATGCAAGGATGCCAGGAACACCTGAAAAAGCACCAACCTGATGATAGCCAAATGAAATTCAAATATTTACTGTATTCTTCTTAAGTGAATTGTATCCATTTAGAAACTACCAGACTGAATATATATAGGGCTAGGCAAAAAAATAAATAAATCGATTTGTCGATTAATCGTTTTTTTTTTTTTAATGACGTCGATTCGATATCGATTCTCAAAAGCCGCGAATCGATCTGTTCCGGTATTTATTTCAGCACATTTAAAACAAGATCTGATTAACGTGAATCTTGCACACACACACACACACACACCAAAATATAATATATACATTTTCAAATTGAAAATATATGTATATTTATACATATAATAAATTAATTATTTAATTAATAATTTTTTTGCTTCTTCCTATGGAAGGATTTAGAAAAAGAAATTAATATTTACCAGGTTCTCCTTTAGGTCCATCTTTACCAGCTGTGCCGCATGTTCCTATATCACCTTTAGACAACATAAACAGTTGTATTTTTATATGTATTGTATGAAACACTTACATTGCATGCAAGGAGGTCAAAATACTATTAATCTGACAAACCAAGCTTGAACTTTAAAAGCTAAATGTCAAATGGTACTGCAAACATCTTTCCAAATAATTTTTTACAACATTGTTTAATTTGTGTACCTATCTGACCTCATAACTTAGCTCAAAGGTGACTGATTAACTGGAGTCAAGCGGTTTGATTTCATTCTTACCTCTGTCTCCTTTATCACCTTTGGCCCCATCTCTGCCATCACGTCTTGGCATTCCATTGTGTCCCGGGTCTCCAGGGATCCCGGGGTGACCATACACACAGCCGGTATTTTTTTCAGAAACACTCTGCTCTGCAGCATTGACCAATCCAATTAGAAAAAGCATACAAATCTGTGTGGGAAAGAGTATGGTCCTTCAAGCACTTCAGCAGCTGGAGTCCAAGAACAGTCTCTGTGTTTGAGGAAACTTAATGTGCACAAACATTTGAAGATTTTTCAGACTTGACATATTGCAAACCTGCTATTTCATTGGTCAGAAAGTCATTGTTTAGATTACTTATTTTACCCAAATATGTTACACATCACCTGTGTCCTCTATTGAAATTCCTTTTTGTATTCTAGTTTAGATAATTATCAACCTGAAACATGCTATTGCCCAATCCATATTAGCATAGAGTTTTGCTAACAAAACCCATTTATATTCATTACATTGTGGAGTAAAGCTAATATTAAACTGAACAAACCCTTATGAAAGTCAGTCTGTCACTTCCTTGAAGGCTTTGGGATGTTATGTGATCTTGTGCTTTAATTTGCTGTAATTGATTTGGTTGCTTTAGAAATGTTACTGAACAGTCATAAAGTCAGTCTAAAGAGCATCATGCAATTCATTGCTTAATGCATATGGTCCCATGTAGCTCCTTATGGGTGTTACTCTATCTTGATTAAATTTCCACTTCAGTGACACTGCAAATGCAGTCCAACGCATCCCAACGCTTGACCTTATGAATCCATTTGGCTTTAAGCTTTTGAAATATGTCATGTCTGCCTTCCTCCCCCTCTTAAACATAAAAGTTTCAATTAGAGCTAAAAGGTTTCTATGGCCATTTAGAAGAGCCTATAACAGAGCTTCAATGTGCCAAGAGAAACGTCTTTGGAATAGGTATATGAAATTCAAATATTGTGTTTATATATTGCTAAATTAAATAAATAATGATTTCAGGCCATTTTAAACATATAGGTCAATATATATAGACTTGAACCCGTGTCTTAAAGGAATAGCTCACCCAAAAATGAAAATAATTCTTAATAATGCTGTAATAATGGTATTAATGTTGTTCAGTTTCTTGCACAGACTCATCATTTCACTTCATAAGACCTCAATATATTGTAATTTTGGTTTTTGTATCTGATGAGGCGCAGTTATGTTTACTGTCACTGGGTGAAATTTCATTTCAAAATCCAGTCCTTTCAAAAGGAATTTGTGCGATAAAGTTCCCACATAGATTTTGCTCATATTCATGTTGGTAGTAGTAGCTGAAAGTAACTTCTGTGTGAACGGTGCTTCATGAATCGCTGCACTATTGACAATATACCTTAATGCTAATGTGATCACACCGTAACCATGTTCTGATGTTTTTAAGAAACTAGATCTAACACATAATGTAACATCAAGAACATTTTTAATCTGTAAAGGACTATATAAGCAATTAAAGAACCCTGCAGCTAAAAATGTCTACTGAAAACTCAAGTATATTTAAAATATTGTACAATATTATTTAGGTTTAACTTCATGCAATATTGCATTTTATTTTAATAGAAAAAAGAACACAATAACCAATCATGTTAAGGTACCAATTTATTAAACATTTACATCAAACATGGTCACCAAAACCAAGCTTATTATGAAACTGACATGGAATATTCACACACAACAACGATGGACAACACAAATGAAAATATTATTAATCTGCATACAGTACTTCTGGTTAGTATGTGCATTGACATTCTTTACTTTTTCATTTTTGCTATTAAAACAGCAAAGGCAGCTGTTTTGACTTGCTTAGATAAAACTAATTCTAATAGAAAGAATTACTATCACTTTGCATACATTTACAAATAAATACATTGATTTTATCACAAGCTGAGCAAACCAAACTTAAAATAGATATATATAGCATGCTCTAAAACCGCTATACTTCAGTTTTTGACGTTACTAAGACTGCTCTTCTTCATCAAATAGATGCACCATCACAGACCACTGCTTGGTGAGGGCTGGGGTGAGGGGGTTTAAGGTCTTCTGGGTCTTTTAGGCAAGTTGCTGGGCACTATAGTTTTACATAATCTGCCGATGCATGCCATAACCAGTCATGCCAGCCTGAGATGCCCCATGGTTACTACCCATCTGTAAGCCAATCAGATTCTGACCCTGCCGCAACTGCTCCTCAGAGAACTCTCGCCGGTTGCCTTGAGATTTCCTGTCACACGAGATCAAAAAGAGTTCACGCTGAAACAAAACAAAGTCTATTCACAAGTCCAACCAGACAGGGCTTAATGCCCCACTATGAATTAGTCTGGCAGTAATCTTCATAGGAATTGTCCTGCTCACCTGTGAAACCAGTCCCGGTTACCTCGGTAATGTCCATCGTCTTTTGTGAGAGCGACGCTACCCAGGGCCATTAGAGTTCTCTGGACGGCTGCCATGTCTTTTCCTTTAACCAAAGGAACCAACAAGCACTGAAGTGACTTTGGCTACACACCAAGAACACAACTTGCAATGCTTTCTATAACAATTCAAACTATATTAATTTTCTATAGTGGTTTGCTTTTACAAGCACCATGCTAATTCAGAAGTCCATGAAGTGCTGCTATAGAACTTATAAAAGCAAATTTGACTGTACCTTCCCACAAGTCCACTGTCTGAAAAATGTCTGTGGTTATTACTCCGTAAGCTTCAGCTGCCTGCAGGAACTGGGAGATCTTTTCCATTTGCTTAAAGGCCATCGGAGTCTCTGGGATCTTCTTAATAGGCTCCTTACCACGTGGATACAAACTGTTAATGAGTCTACAGAGGATCTGCAGACATGGATGAATGTGGGAGACAAAGATAAATAAAAGATTAATGGAATCATGTTGATGTGATATTGTCAAATTGATATTTACTCACAGTGCCATCCATTAGCCAGTTCTGAAAGTTTTGCTTCCCCGGCTGTGGTTTCTCTATATTTCCTCCACACTGAGCGACAATCCAGTCCATCAGTCGAGACTCCAGCTCTGGGTCATACTTCTGCTCGATCTTCTCCTGCACCTCACGGCTCAGTCCATAACTGGGTCCTCGGTTCGCCATGGTCAGGTTTAATAATTCTAGGTCTTTACCCAGTATATCTAAAAACAACAACAAATTTACACACTAGCTGAATCTGAATCTGAATCAAAAGGAAGAAAATATAAGGCTTTATGATTTCCCCTTAGATGTTGTTCTTTCTGTAATGTTTTTTTTTTTTTGTTACAGTAATTGTGTATAACTTATTGTAAATATTAATTCACACATGAACTTATTGTAAACATGAATTTAATATTCCTGTATTATAATACAGACTATCATATATAAATTTGTGTATATGAACACATGGACTCACAAGGGGTAATATTGACCAGGGTGTGGTCCATGCTTCTGTTCCCATGCGTGACTTTAAAGAAAAAAAAAAAATATCTAAAACAATAGCGAACATATAATAATAATAATAATAATCTAGGAGACCATTGCAATCATTTTACAATTCCTTATAGCGTTTGCAAACGCAAAAAGAAACTGCATGTGCATATTTAGCCCAAATTAGTTTTTAAACTATTACATTCAAACAGTTACCGATTATTTAATTCTACTTGCGATATCATCATACAAATAATTTAGTCATAGATAAAGATTCACTTACTGCAAGCAGATGTGCGTGTCGTCCTCCTGTGCAGCGAGGCCAAATCCTTCCTGTGGTCAGCGCTCAGAGATGCTGGACTGAAACATCCATGCGGCGGGGGACGGGGCGTGGCTCCGAGCACACTGTCCAGTGCGCGTAATCGGTGAGGCTTGGCTTATGAATATTAATTAGCTTGCGTAGACGGACGCTGGTAACCAAGTAGCCTCGGCGTGACTTAATTAACATTAATGAGCTGAGCATTTTCGGCGTAAACGTCGGGAATAGAATGACAGAATGACACAAAATAAAGTACACTATAGAACAGAATCTGAATACATTTCAGTAAACAATATTTAACTTTTCTTGGGTACAACTCGTTATCTTAAAAATAAGATTTTAT